ACCATGTGACAGAGCTGCTAGAGATCAAGCTGGGCTTTGGGGTTCAGCCACCAGCCTGAGGGTTGGTGTCTGACAATGTACTTAGACTTAGGAGATGGACCAGTAGGAACTGAAGGGCAGTGTTCCTTTATTACAGGGACCATTTATCTTACAAGAACTAAATTCATTTTTAAGTTCCTGAAAAATAAGTTTTCCTCCTGAATATTCTTGGAAATATATTTTGATAGTTATCTGAAATCAGACATCTTGCTAGTAGCTGCTTTAACTGCCTAGGGTTTCTTAGGATTAGAATTCCACAGCAGTGACAGAGATACTCTACAGCATCTACCTAACCTGGCTCCACACTGCTGACATGGGACTGGCACTGGGGGACAGGGGCAGAGGGGAATGAAGTTGTCATAAAGCTCATGCTGCCTACAGGCAGCAAGTCTTTGCTTTTGTCTCTGATCCAGGGATCTCATGTCTTCTGCCAGCATCTGCAAAACTGTGGCAGACTAACTTCTTGACTTGCAAATAGGTAAAATCTCAGACACAGAGTTCTTGAAAGTTCTGGTGGTGGTAATGGCGAGGTTGACAGACTTGGCTTTCTGCAAGAGAAAGAGCCAAGAGAACTTTTGCAGGCTGGGTTAGGGGATTTTAAAAGAAAATACCCCAGGACCTTCACTGTGTTGGAGAGCAAATGCTCTTAGGATGAGTAAGTCTTCACTGTTAATGAGACTAAGGAGTGGGAGGTAAGATTGAAACACACAGCCCTCACTGTGTCTTGATCATTCTTCTCCCAGTGGAAGGAAAAAGGGCCAAAGAGACACCAAAGCTGTTCTGTTTTGAGTGAACAAAAATGTTTGACAGCTGCTAGAAACTGACAGTCAGTGGGCCTTGCTTACTGGTGTAAGCCACAATGCCTTAGTGCACGCTTTGGGCACTGGAGGCAATCAAATCTGATTGGCTAATGGTAGCCTTGGGCAAAGGAAGCAGTCTCTACCTAGAGGTGCCCTCGGGGTTTGGGGGCAACCTAGGTAGACACCTATTAGAAAGTAGCAAGCTAAGAGCTGCTAGTGAGTTCTCATTGAAAGGGGACTTGGTATTGAGACTTCCATTTTGGGGGAGAGGTGCGTCAAACTGGACTAAGGCTAGCAAGGAGGCAAGGGCCCAAAGCCTTTTTTAGAAACATGTAAGGTATACTCAAGAATTAAGTTGTCCTCACTGGTGGAATCTCAGCTTTCCATGAAAAAGTTGCTGTAATTCCTCTGGGGAAACTTTCTCTCTACTTTGTACCTGGCAGAGCTGCTGGCCCCATGTGCCCTCCATTGAGCTTGCATGGCCTAGCTCATTGAGGGTTTGGCTAATGTTGAAACGTAACAGTGTCCACGGGGCTGATACAACTGTTTGGCCTCAGTCATTGTGCTGAACTAAGAGTGAATGTGGTCGCCCCACTTGGTTGGCAGAACTCAGATTCATGGGCTACTGCGAATGGCCTAGCTGTTTGCTCCTCTGCCACTTATAGCAGAGTCTTTCTCTCAGGCAAAGGCTGACTCTGGCTGCAGTCAAGGTGATTGAACTTAACTCTAGTTAATGCCAAAGCTAATGTTGCATGCCAGACCTCTGACTCCTGCCAAAATTTGGCACATTTGTTTTATGGTGAGGCCACATCAAAGAAAGAGCTTTGCCCTTCCCCTGCCTGGCAGATTGACCTTATCAGCCCTGGCCTCCCAGGGCTGTCTGCCCCCTGCTATAGAGCCTCAGGTTACTGACTGCACCAAAAGGGAGGCCGAAGGGACTCAAACTTAAGTCTTATAAAAATGACCTTGTCATTTATCTGAGCTCCTCAGGTCTCACTGAGTGGGGAATGATAGCAGGTGCAAGTGGAGCTACTGAAATGGTCACTCAATTCTGTGGAGGTGGAGGGAGAACAATATACCAGCCCCTGTGCAGAGAATGCCTTAGACTTGAGGAGGTGAGGGGGTGGGGAGTATTAATGATTTCTCAGAACTGCTCAGGAGGTTTGGTACAGAAAAACACACTGCATGTCCTTCAAGCTGTAGCAATGAACTTAACCAGTTGCTGTACCTGTCATCCTCAGCCAGAGGGCTGGGATGCATTTTGAAGTGGATAAATGCAACCCAGCTGGTGTTATGGATAACCTCAATCTCAGGCAGATAGAACTGGGAGTCTTAAGACTTACAGACAAGAAAGCCACGTTGGAGTTACTTTCAACCCGAGCTTTCTAACTGGTATTGATCCTAGGGGAGGGGTGCAAAAATTTCTGGGGTGCTGTGTTCTTTATAAATTTACAGAGATTTGATGTCCCTGCAGCCTCTACCAGGCTGGAGCCTTTGCAGGCTCCTTTGCTGAGCATCTCTGCTCTTTCTAGAAGCTGTTCTTTATAGAGGCTACATACAAGATTACCTCTTTCCTAAGACAGACTTTTAAGTGGTCATAGGAGACTTGGGAGTGTTTAAGGAAACACTACCCTGGTCCTAACAGGCATCCAGATCAGCTTAATTCACTGGCCTGGGTTGTTCTGGACGAGAGGGTCACCTGAGTCCTCTTCCAAGGTAGAGTCTGTAATCACTAATACATCCTGCTCTACCTGGGTTAATTAAAAAAAAAAAAATTAGACAACCATGTGGCTTACTCTAAGTAGACATCAATGGTATGAGATGTTCAGCTGGATCCTTTTCAGGGCATAGTTGAGGTCAATATTACAGGTTGGTCTAATCCTCCTATGCTCTCAAATTAAATGGACTTGGTCTTGGCTCCTGTTGAAACCCTCTTGTCTCTCTTAAAACATATTCCACTATATCTACCCTGGTGCCAGACTGTACCATCTCCTATTGGTCAGTATTAATCACAATGGCTGACTGAATGGAATATTTGTGGGAAGATTTACCAGGAGGCAGAAATGAGAGGCAGATATCAGTGAGGAGGAGTGGTCCTTAGTGCCATGCCCGTGTGTCTTGTGATGACTTATGTCCTGGACTATGTCTTCAGGGTATTTGTATGGAAAACTAGGGGGATAGACGTGAGGTCTTGGGAACAGAGGGCAGATTCTTCTGACCAGGGTATTAAAGATAATGGTTATCGTTGTCTGTTGGCCATCCAGTTGTCATTTCAAACTCAGTATGTCTAAATCTGAACTTCTGCTCTTTTAAAAAACTGCAACCCTTGTAGTTTCTCTCTAATGCCACCACCCTCCTTTTTTTCTGTTGTGTAGACCAGAAATCTAGGATGTCATTCTTTCTCCTCTCACATTACACATCCTACTCATAATGATGCCCTCTTGTCTCTCTTTTAAAACATATCCATTATACCCACCCTGGTGCAAGTCTGCACCGTCTCCATCTAGGCTTCAGCAGAGGGTCTGGCCCATGGATTTGATGTCCCTGCAGCCTCTCTCTCCTGGGCTGGAGCCTTTGCAGGCTCCTGTGCTGAGCATCTCAGCTCCTCTTGGCTTTCCCTTCCCTGAAGATGCTGTATTTGCAGTCTTCTCTGCTTTGCCAAGTCCCCAAACCATTCTCTGCTGGTGTTTCTATTCTTTTTAAAATCATTTTTCTTGAGTGCTTCTGCTGCCCTTTCCCTCTCTACCCGCCCAAGCTTCTTAATTCATGGGGTTTCAGGACAGTCATCTGTCCACCTATAACTGGGAGTTGTAGCAGCAATTTACTTAATGTAACCAAGTTTACAGACCATATAACTAATCATGCTAGTCCCTTAACATTAACCTCCAAATATTTGAGCATGAATGTATTACCTCAAAAGTATTAGGAATATTGCTAGAACATTAAGCTTAAAATTAATGTTAAATACATTGAGTAGACTGAGACAGCTGGAACATTACCTCAAAGATAGAAGTACTGTGGGTTTGTGTTGTTGTTGTTTTAAGGAAACAGGACCTTGTTTTGTCACTCAGGCTGGAGTGCCATGGTGCAGTCATAGCTCAGTGCAGCTTTAACTCCTGGGCTCCAGCAATCCTCCTGCCTTGGCCTCCCAAGTAGCTGGGACTACAGGCACGCATAACTGGCTAGGAGGTATTGTTTCTAAAACATGGAATATCTAAGAATTGTTTAGAACTCAATTCAGTATACTTTTTCCTGTTATATATCCTGATAATATAGTTCTTAGCTGTGTTCTCTAGGTTTTAACATATTATAATTGAACACTAAGAATATGACTTCCTGGTATATTTGAGTTATATGAAAAAATGGGTATCTTCCCTCGGGACTCCACTTTAATCAAGTTCAGGGTGTATAAATGTAAAATTCCTTTCAAAACAGTTCCTTGTACTATTATCTTAGGTTATTTTGTAGCTTACATGACAGCAAATACATTAGAGAAATATAGATAATGCTTGAGAATGGAGCAATAACTCTGGAACTGAAAACTGTAGAAATTCTAAGAAACTTCTTAGAACTTCTAAGTTGACAGGAAAGAAAAGACAAAATTAGATCAGCCAGTCTGAGGAACAGTAAACACAGTAAAAAGGAAATACAAATAGTAAAAATCAGCTAAGTAGGAGAAAATTATGTCCCCATTACCAATGGGCTGTCAGTGTGGATTTAAGAACACAGTTGCATATTTTCAGATTAAGGAAAGGCAAAATGACTAAAAGAAAACAGGTGAAACAATGTTACTGCACAAATAGAAATTTAAGAATAGTTAACATTGTTAAAGCATTAAAGGACAGATTTTATGTACTGTAATTGCAACTTAAGAAAAGTTGATAGTCGAAAAAAAAAGAATGTTGATAGTCAAACTTGACCTTCATTTAGCCAATTTTAGAAGCAAAAACTTCTCAAGACATAAAGGAAGATAATGATTTTACTGGGATTGTTGAAAATACTTCTTAAATGACCAGACTGTTTAGTAGACAAAAAAGAAAATACAAGGAAAACATACGAAGAACATATTTTGTAACACCTATAAAAGAGGACATATATTTGGCCACTTAAACTTTTGTCAGGGTTCTGTATTGATCAATAAAATTAGAAGTAAAGATGAGTGATTGCTTTGGCTATGCATATACTAAAATTGGGATGATACAGAGAAGATTAGCATGGCCCCTGCTCAAGGATGACATGCAAATTCATGAAGCCTTCCATATTTCAAAATGAAAAAGAAAAAAGATGAATTTTTAATTAGTTTAAATTGAGAAATTATTATGAAATTAAACACTTGGGTTAAATCAAAATGACATAAAAGTCGTCTGTGGGGAGGTGCCTGTGGCCCAGTGAGTAGGGCGCCGGCCCCATATACCGAGGGTGGTGGGTTCAAACCCAGCCCCGGCCAAACTGCAACAAAAAAAGCCGGGTATTGTGGCAGGCGCCTGTAGTCCCAGCTACTTGGGAGGCTGAGGCAGAAGAATCGCCTAAGCCCAGGAGTTGGAGGTTGCTGGAGTGACTCCGTTGCACTCTACTGAGGGCGAAAAAGTGAGACTCTGTCTCTACCAAAAAAAAAAAAAAAGTCGTCTGTGAAATGAAGAGAACATTCTGTACCAAAAAAATAATGGGACATAATTTAATAGGAAGTCTGAAGGCATATGTTAGCTTTAAGTGCCTTTCATATTTTTAAGACTGAAATGAACCAGATGCTAATTTCAATAGTTTGGAAAGAAAAAAGAGGGAGAGACATTTATTGTAACAAGTAATATTTATTGAACATATACTTGTCCAAATTCCAGGCACTGTTTTACATGTGTTAATCCAAAAATCAAATAAGGTAGGCACTCCCATCCCATTTTACAGATGTAAAACAGACACAGGGAGGTGCCCGTAGTTCAGTGGGTAGGGTGCCAGCCACATACACCGAGCCTGGTGGGTTCGAACCTGGCCCGAGTCAGCTAAAATCAACGACAAATGCAACAAAAAAACAATAGCCAGGTGTTGTGGCAGGTGCCTGTAGTTCCAGCTACTAGGTAGGCTGAGGCAAGAGAATGGCTTAAGCCCAAGAGTTTGAGGTTACTGTGAGCTGTGACACCACGGAATTCTGAGGGCAACATAGTGAGACTCTGTTTCAAAAAAGAAAAAAAAAAAGAAAACAGACACTGGAGGGTAAGTAACTTGCTCAAGATCACGTGACATTGACAAAGCTGGGATTCAAACTTAGGCAGTCTGGCTGCAAGCCCATGACCTTGACTATCATGCTACACTCTTTTACACTGAAGCTTAAATTAATGGACTTGAAACAAAATTTAAATCTAATAAAACCAGGTACTTTGAAAAGAGCAGTGAAGTATGTAACTTACTGATAAAGTTGATTCAGGTAGTATGAGAGTAAAAATTTTGAGAAGGGGAAAGGCAAACCAATAACATAATTAGGCATTAAATTTGAAAACCTAAAGAATTTTGCTTTCTTGGCAAAACTTGAGTGCCCAAAATTGACTTCATGTAGTTGGCGGGGTAGGCCATGTACTATCATAGTAACAATCTTGAAATTTCAACAGCTTAATAGCACAAGGGCTTCTTTCACAAAATGAACTATTGTGTGCTAGCTGGGAACACTGGGCTTTGGGTCATTGTCTGCCAGTACTAGGCAGATAAAGTAGCATTGAGAGCTGGTGATATGGCAGAGGGAGAAACAGGTAAATTGCACTGGCTCGCAAAACTGCTGGGAGATGACATACATGATATCTACTCACATGTGACTAGTCAAATAAGTCACATGATCCCACCCAGATACAAGGGGCTTGGGTGGAGAGAACATCCCTACTGTGTGCCCCAGGGAGGAACTGGAAATACAGGAATATGCCACAGATGTCCCAATAGAATGTCTTTTAGTTTTCAATACCCAGATTTTCATAGAATATTTCTGTCAATATTTTTTGACAGTTTGGGAAAAACTTGTTTACATCAAAAAGACTTACTGAACATCTTACTATGTGGGAAAAGTTTGTTAAATTCCAAATATAAGGTAGAACTTCAGAATTAACAAGAATGATGTGTGTCTCTGTGATAAGAAAAGCATCCCAGGCTTACTGAATGTAAAGCAACTGTCTTTGGTGATGCCAAACAATGTTTTAAGCTTTATGTCTCAACATTTTAATTTGCTATTTTTATATAGGTGTTGGTATGTTTTTAGTTGGATTCTAGGAAACTGTTGGGAAGTTGTGGGTTCCCTGTAACACAGTTTTTCCCATTTAAAATACCAAGTGTTGGAAGAACTGGAACTCTCGTATGCTGCGGATGGAATGTTAAAATGGTACAACCACTCTAGAAAATAATTTGTCAGCTTCTTAAAATATTAAACACCTATATGACCCAGTCATTCCATTCCCAGAAGAGAAATGAAAGCACATGTTCATACAAGGCCAAATAGGTGAATATTTATAGTACGTTTATTTGTAACACACAACTGAGAATAATCCAAATGTCCAAAGAACTTGTGGGATATTCATACAATGGAACGTTACTCAGCAATGAAAAGGAATGGACTACTGATACACATAAATCTCAAGATAATCATGGTGAGTGAAAGTATCAGAGTCCCCTACCCTTAAAAGATAATATACTGATGATTGCATATATATAATTCTTTAGAAAATGCAAACTATAGTGACGTCGTTTGGGTGACACTGTCGACGATCACAAAGGAACATGAGAAAACTAGAGGGTAGCAGATACACTCACTGTCTTGACTGTGGTGATGGTTTCAGGGATCTACCCATATCACAACTTTTCAAATGCTACACCTAAAATATATACAGGTGATTATCAATTACACTTCAATAAAGCTACATCAAAAATTAAGAAATAGCCTTACAATTGGTATTTTCACATAGAACTTCTGATTTTCATGAACAAATTTCTGATGTGAGGCAGAAAACGCCTATATTGGGAAGATAGGACTAATGGCTTCCCCATACCACACTCTCTCACAGGCCTGAGAGGAGATGTGGTCATGAGGCCCCTGGTTCCTAAGACACTGGAGGCCTCCCTACTGAAGTTGAGTGTAAGTGAAGACTCCAAAATAATTCTGAGTTCCGGATTCTGGAGATACCTGGATGGGCCCTAGATGGGCTTCCAGACACGTTTTCCATCTGAAAATCACTCAAATAGCTTTGGGAGGAGTTTTTTTGTTTGTTTGTTTTTGTTTTTTTGTTTTTTTTTTTTTTAGATTTTAATTTCTCTGTAAAACCGTGGGGCAGCAAACATACAGGCAGCAGAGAAGAACAAGTCAGAGAAGAACTGGCTGCAGGTGCTGCCAACACAGCACCCCTTGCAGGCTCTAATTCCAAGGTCTGCAATTCCTGCTGATGCCCAGGTTCTAAAAAACCTCTGTACCAGCCTCCCCCTTTAGCAAGGGAGACTGTAACCTCAGTCTTTCCTATCTCCCTACAGCTGCTCTGGGTTGCCTTCCCTTCTGTGCTCCTTGCAGAACTGGCTTCTCAAACCTTCAAAAAATGGGGGAGCCTGCAATGAGTGCCCAGGGGCCACCTCTCTCTGCTGCAAGAGGGTGTGAAGGAGTGAGCCTAGACCCAGGGGCATGTGAAAGGCCTTTGTGAACAGGCCTAAGGCATTCTCTGAATCTTTCCTCTCACAAACACCCCCAATGGATCTGAAGGGGCCAATCTGCAATTCTCCCTCCTGCATCTCCAAGCTCTTGGGAGGAAACGGGGAAGAAAGGTGGCAGGGAGAGTGAGAAACTGAGCTTTGGGAGACTTGTGAAGTGGCCCAAAGTGTTGCTGGGGCTGCTTTGGGCACCCTTTCCCCACTCTAACCCTGGGGGCACTATATCTGGGCCCCAGTTCCAGAGTGTCTAGGTTAGAGATACATGGTATAACCAATTCATTCCACCCTTACATAAATGATTTTCAGCTTTGACTGTGCTTTTGAATCATCTGGGTAGCTTTTAAAAACCCAGATGCGCAGAAAATTGGGAACTTCCACTCACTTTCACTGATCAAAACATGTTACCAGCCACATCCGACTTCAGCATGCCTAGGAGAGATGTGAGTCTTTGGTGGACAACACAAAAATCACAACCCAAGAGAAGTAGAAAACTAGAGGAAAGAAATTACCTTTGATGGCTTGATGGTTTTACAAATAAATTCTCTGTAATTTGATTATAATTTCTAAAAATAGCTCAATAGCTAAAGCTTTTTGAGTTATTTTCAGGTGGAAGGCTCTCATATATTTTATGAAATTAGCATTTGCTTAAAATAAAAATATAAGAAATATACTATAAAAATGTACTCTGATGAGCCTCAATTATAAAGTTAGATATAAAAATTACCATGATTAGCAAACTGAATGAAGAAATGTATTAAAAGAATGACAGCAAACTCTTTAGATAGTGCTTTCTGTGTGTCAGGCACTGTTTTAAGTGCTTTGCAGTATTAACCAATTTAATCTTCACAACAATCCATTCCTTAGGCATTATTTCCATATTACAGATGGGGAAGAAATAAATGGATCATTGTTCTACTCCTTGCTTTAGAGCTGAGATGAAAAAATGCAGTGAAGGAGGATGGAGAGCAGTAACTCAGTGGTAGGCAGAGCTTTCTACATGTCCTTCCCTGGCCTTAAAGAATGTGAATATGCAGGCATAGCTGTCAATTTGGGGAAGAGGTATAGCAATATATGCACCATACAAGATGGCCACTAAAGTAGTAATCCCCTTGTTTTTGTTGAGTGGTGACTCAAGTCTTTATGTTCTGAGACACTCTGTGAGTAGATTGGTAAAGGCTAAAGCATAGGTGAAGGCTACTGCTTGAGCACTGCACATACTTAGTCCTTCTATTTCTTCTGAACACAAACTGGTCTTTCAATAGTTTCCTGAATCCCAACTTCTTTTAAGAATGGGGGTACTTCTTAGACCTCTGGAGGCTGGACAGAACAGGGAGTGAGGCAGTACTGTGGCTGGAGTTGTAGAAAGTGCAGAAGGAAGGTCATTGGCCCAGTTTTTTTCTTGGAGGTTGGTTTTTAGGTCTGGTTTTCTCTTGCGTATGAGGGATAACTGTGTCCCTGTTCCAGGACCCCCGGGTTTTAGGAAGAGATTTTTATGAAGCAATCTCATTCAAGTTCCCTTCTCCCCAATTCCACCAAGGGGCAAAATCCTAGATGCCTCACGTTCTTTGGTCTGAACTGAGACACCTTCTTAAAATATTAGGGCAAGACAAGGGAGCAAGAAATGGATTTTCTAATCCTTCTCATGCAGCTCATGGAAGCCACTTATTAAAGCAACAAACCTCAAGTGCCTGAGTCGTGTCAGGCAGTTTCAGGTGCTGCTGGAACTGCAGTAGACAAAATAAACTCCTTGACTTTCTTGCACTTACATACTAGAGGGAGAAGGTATAAGCAGTAACAACTATGAGAGGCTGGTCAAGGAGGGTGGGGAAAGGATGGTGCTTTATGCTTGGTTCAGGGGAGTATCCTCTCAGGTGACACCTGAGGCCAGAAAGTCATAAGGGAGTGTGGGTTGTGCAGAACTGGGGTGTGAGTTGTTTCAGAGGAAGTGATCAGCAAGGACAAAGGTCCAGAGGTGGTATTGTTCATGAGTGTTTGAGGAAAATCAGGTACAGGACTAATCTGAGTTTAACAGAAACATGGGACATTGAAGGTAGTTGTGTTAGGCTGTGGGAACACTAGCAGCTGGGTACTGGCTCTCGGTGCTGCTGACTGGGTCTGACAAACTGTGCCAACACTCTCTCTTCACCAGATGGTCAGCCAGTACTTGTCTATTGTTCTAATAACCAAAAGACCTTTCATAAACTTTTTGAAACCAATGGAACAATATCTTTGAAATGGTAATTTTGAAGATCAACAGCTAATATTGTGATGAGTCTGCTTCCAGAAACAGACAGTTTCAATTGAAGTTCTGTCTTGGGGTAAGAGGGTCAAATGACAAAGTCCTCTATGCCAAGAATAGAGATTTAGAGGCTTCATCATTGTCCTTGGATCCCCAAAGTAACTTCAGTGTCCTGGTTTGATATTTACTCTGGAAGTTTATTTGACATTTATCTGATTTTCTGCCATTCAAGCTTAAGTTATTCATGTTATTTAAAGGGGAGCAGTAACAGGACAACTTGAAAATAACTTCTCAATCACACAATCATATGATTTAATGCTCATTTTATTTACGGCACTCACAGGCTGATCGGTCTGACAAACTTGTTTATTTGAGGAGAAACTCAGCACAAACAGCTATGGCAAATAGCAGTTGAGGGAAAGGCTGAAGCATAGAAAAAAGGATCAGTGAACTTTTTCTCTAAAGTACCAGATAGCAAATATTTTAGGCTTTAGGATATTATGTAGGTATTTATATAACAATAGAGAAAATACATCTCTACATTTTTTTTTTTTGGTGAAACTCATAATCCAGGGTATCCATAAAGTTTGTATGCAATATTAAACTATTTTAAAGCACACTACCTTTATGGACACCTGCAATGCTTTTTGAAATACAGATCTGTTAATGGGAAGAATAGAATTCATTTTTAGAACATTTTGATCAATTGAAGTTGAAAGTTAACGTTCCTAGGGTCACGTTAATTGCAAATGTTCTTGGCTTACCAGCTATATAAAAATAGGTAGGGAAAAAAAGAAAAACAGACAGAGGGCAGGATTTAGCCTATGGGTGGTAGTTTACCAACCTCTGGTATAGAAAATATGTTTTTAATGTTCAAAGTAGTCCTGGAGCTTCTGATTAAAGTTAAAAGTAAAGAAGAGAGAGAAACATAGGAACTGGAAGAGATATGTTGACCTTGTCCTATAAAACCAACAAGGGTGGTAGAGAGATAACCTATAAAAATTGATAGCCTTTCTCTACACTAGCAAAAACTAATGGTAATAACTAAGAGCAAAATAAAATCAACAACAAACGCTAAAAAACCTATGAAAACATATAGAAATTAACAACCAAGAACACATAAGATGATGATCAAGGAGAAAATGTCAAAACTTTAAGATATAAAAGATGATCTGAATAAATTGACAGACATTCCATGTTCTTAATGAGATAATATTAACATATTTCTATTCTTTCCAGGTAAATAAATTAATGCATTCTCAAAGAAAATTTGAATTGGATTTTTAGAGAAATTTGTCAACTTGGTTACTTGGATGAATAAAAATACAAATAATAAAACTATAGAAAGGAAAAAGTGACTTATATGACATAAAGAAAAAAATAAGACAATGAAACAGAAATAAACAAGACTGTGATACTGGTGCAAGAACATGCAGACTGACCCATGGGACATGATAAAGATTTTACTGGCCATTCTGTACATGTATTTTAATGCCTTTGTTGTGTCTAACATCTGTGTCCATTCTGGGTCTGTCTCAATTGATTTATATTTTTCTCCTCATTGTGGGTCATATTTTCCTGCTCTATCTGCCAAGTGATGTTTTAAATTGAACACCAACCACTGTGATTGGATCATCTGTATTTCTGTAAATATTTTTGAGTCTTGTTCTGGGACATAGTTAAATTTTTGAAAAGAGTTCGATTCTCTTGGATCTTGCTTTTAATGTTTGGTAGGCAGGATAAGAATAGCATTGAATCTGGGGCTAATTATTCTTTACTACGGAGCCAAGAAATTTGAGTACTTTACCCATTATCTTGTCAATTATGAGGTTTTCCTTATTTTCCTTCAAATGTATATAAGAAGTAAGTCCTATTATCTAATCTTAAATAGGTCTTAGTGTTGTAATTGTCTTTTTATTTTCCTTTTTTTATTAGAAGAAGAGGGCCAGGCGCAGTGGCTCATGCCTATAATCCTAGCACTCTGGGAGGCTGAGGCAGGTAGATTGCTGGAGCTCAGGTGTTCAAGACCAGCCTAAGCAGGAGCAAGAACACCATCCCCCGTCCCCATCTGTAAACAACAACAACAAAAATACCCAGCTGCTATGGTAGGCACCTGTAGTCCCAGCTGCTTGGGAGACTGAGGCAAGAGCATCAATCACTTGAGCCCAAGAGTTGGAGGTTGATGTGAGCTATGATGCCTTAGCACTCTACCGAGGGTGACAAAGTGAGACTCTGTCTCCCCCCACCCCCCAAAAAGGAAGAAGAGGAATGTTACTTTCTAAAAAACTGTGGGGAGTTTTGAATCAAAAGAGAGACAAACTGTGGGGAGTTTGAATCAAAAGAGAGACAAAAACAACCTAAAGCTTAAACACATAGAGGCTGGGTTGGAGGTGGAGGAAGCCTGGTGTGGGGCAAGGTGTGAAGGACTCCTAAGGAGACCTGTGGGGCAGATGTCCATGTTCTACATCTTGGAACCTGTGAATATGTTAGGTTACATGCAAAGGGGAATTCAGATTGCTGATCACCTGACCTTATAATGCAGAGATTATCCTGGTTTATCTGGTGGTATCCAGTGTAATCAATCACAAGAGTCTTCCTAAGTGGAAGAGGAAGACAGAACCAAGAGAGGTGTGAGAAGGATCTGGCCTAATGCTACTGGCTTCAAACATGGAGGAAGATGCTATAAACCAAAGAATGTTCATGGCTTCTAGAAGCTGAAAAAGCCAAGGAAACAGATTCTCCCAGAGCTCCAAAAAGGAATGTAGCTCAGAATGCTGTATTCATCTTTCCTTTCCTTTCTCTCTCTATTTTTGGAGAAATGTGGGAAATGTAGAAAATGAGGAAGCAGAAGATAATCACCATGTGTCTATCACTCAAAAGCAATAACTCTTAATATTTTGTCCTGTTTTCCTAGTCCTTTTACCTATCCATATCCTCTTTTAAGAAATTATCATTGATAAAAACAATTGACATAGATTGGTTACCCTCTGACTGCTATCTCTACCTCATTTCTTCCTTTCTTTTTTTCCCTTTTTATTTAATTTTATTTTTTTGAGACAGGCTCTTGGTTTGTCACCAGGTCGGAATACAGGGGGTGTGATCATAGCTCACTGCAGCCTTGAACTTCTGGGCTCAAATGATCCTCTTGCTTCAGCCTCTTGAATAGCTGGGACTACAGGTGCATGCCACCATACCTAGCTATTTTTTTTACATATAGAGATAAGGGTCTTGCTATGTTACCCACACTGATCTTTAACTCTTGGCCTCAAGTGATCCTTCCATCTTGGCCTCCCAAAGTGCTGGATTACAGATGTGAGCCACTGTGGCCTGTGCCCATCTCATTTCATTTATTCCTCAGGAGATAACTCTATTGAGAGCTAGATGTCCTTCCTTTAGTAATTTAACCCATTTCTATTTAAAGTGTGGGCCATGGACCAGCAGCAAAGGCATCATGTGGGAGCTTGTTAGGAAACAGAATTTCAAGCCATCCCCAGACCTACTGAATCAGACTCTATAGTTTAACAAGATCCCCAGGTGATTTGTTTATGTATTATGAAAAGCCTTGCATTATCAGAGGTGTGCATCTTCAGCCTACACCCTTGTCTGGCCATTGTGAACTTGCTCCTACCCTACATGGCTGACTCAGAGCTGTCCTCAGAACCCCCCAAATGGCACAGCTCTGCTCCATTTATCCTCATCATTCTTATCTTTTTTGTTGTTGCTGTTCTTTTTGCTTTCTTTAGGAAGGGATTGCTCTGTTTCTGATTCATGGACATTTCCTTTCACACCTCATTTGCACAGAATGTTTGGAGTTGAGGTAGGTTTCAGTGTGAGCTCTAGCTGCCATCTTGACCTGGGAGTAGCTGAGGGTCTTTTTGTGCCTCCCTCAGGGCTGTTGTTTCCTAACACATGGCGCCACCCAGTGTCGTCATTAACATGACCCTTGATTGTTACTGTTTTAAATTTTCTCCACATTCTCAAGGATATTGTAGGCCATGCACTTCTGGGCATTAGATGTTCTGTTCCTTAAATCCCAACATTAAAAAATGAGAGATCTTAGCATTACTAGTTGTCTTTCTATATAACCTTTGGCCATATTTTGGCAAACCAGACCAGGTACTTGATTCAGGAGTAATAACCTGAACCTAATCTAGTCTTCCCATCTGGAGGCAGAGCAAGATATGGAGAGCTTCAAATACCTAGAAAGCCTTCTCTCATTAACATTCACTCCCCTAATGACTGAACCATTCTTTTTGTAGGATAGTACTGTTCTGTCCCATGTGTAGTTTTACACTGTTTTTATCTGCTTGTGATGGGAAAGAGTCACTAGTGGAGAAGGATCTTTAATTTCTCTCTGTCCCAAAGCCTGTTAATGCCCCAAAGATGTTAACAGCATTTTTATCCTCCTTGATGTCTCCTGACAGCACTAAGCACAGATTGCAGAAGGTAGATGTTGCTTGCCTTTAATGGAGTCTCACTTAATATGTTCACAGTGGATAACGGAGGTGGGAAAGGAGGTTTTCCAAGAGCATGAAAGGACCCTGAATCCATCTCATGGAATGGCCAGTAGGGAGCAGCTGGAATGTGGAGGTATGTCCTGAATCACGTCAGGCTGGTGTCAGCCTTAGCAGCATCTATCCCTCAGTGCCCACATTGAAAAAGAGAATCCTGCACTGGAGAAATTATGGGGCAAGTCTTATATTCTCATGGTATGTCGTATCAGGTCACTGAGAAATAGGTGACTCAAAGAGCAAGCAGCACTGACAGGGACTTGGGTTAATAGGCAGAGAATTACTGCAGAGGACTGAGAATCCTGCAACTCAGAGAAGATTCTGAGAAGCTAGAGGAAGATCATGGGTGTAGGGCCAAGGAAGTTTCCTCATTCACTCACTGCCAGCCCTACATCTCTCACAGACACAAAGACAAATCACGTGACTGCAATGCTAGTTATTTTATTGATCATATCAGGACATTATTCATGGTAGAGTTCCCCTTGGATGTGGCAAAGAGTGACAAATTCAGAGAAAACTTTTGATTCCTAAGAGGTAAATTGATGAGTCTTCTTAGGCAATTAGGGAAGATTGTGAAGATGCAGGGATCATGCCTTCATGTGTGCTAATGATAAAAACCAGGTCACAGAACATGGGGACCAGGAAGGGTGCTGGAGCCCAGGTGAGGAATCACTGTGCTAAATAAACAGAGAAGAAAGAGAACACAGAAACTTATTAAGTGTTCCTTGGACTGAGTGGAGGATGAAGAGAAACTCTATTATAGAGAAAAATGTTGAAGAAATAAATCTTACCCTGCATTCTAACCTATGTTATTTACTAAAACAGAAAGAGGAAGGGCATTGAGTAAATGACCTTTTCTTTTTACTGTTGTTAATGCTACCTTAACCTTTCCCCAACTGAAATCTATGAAAAAGAGAAGGGAAGCAATAAAGGATCCTTGGTTTATTTCTATCACATTCAGCATTGGAAGTTTTGAAGAATTTTTGATGAATTAAGGAATAATGGCAAAAGGTATAGCTACCCTTTAGTAAATGCTTACTCTATACAAATTGCTAAAGTACTACTACTCTTTTTTTCCATTTCAAACTTTGTCTTAGTGATTTTCAGCACATTATTAATTACTGAGCCATGCATTATATCCACACAGTAACTCTGTTAGGTAGACGTCATTGCTTCCTTTTTAATAGCTCAGGTTATTTTCCCAATAGCTCACGGTAAAACTGGGTATTCAAGCTATGTCTTTCAACTCTAAATTTTAAGCTCTCCATACAAACTTCATTACCAAATTATTTTTATGGTAATATGTGGGCATGAATCCCTCATGCTTTTGGAAGACACTAATCCCTGGGCCATACCCTCTCCTCCAGGATCAGAGAACACCAACCTGGATCCTGGGCCTGTGCCCCGTCTTGGTACTGGAGACAGCGATCTGTAGAGGCAGAACAGAACACAGACACCAACATCAGTTTAGTTTTTAGGAGAAAAACACATGATTCACCAGGTTAGGACAAAGGAGGCTCATTTGGGGTGTGACTTTCCCTTGGATTTTTTCCTTCTATAACATGGGAATTTAAGAAGAGAGAGTCATATAGCTCAACTTACCAACTTTGGTCAAGTCAATTATATTTTTCTTAGCAATTCCATGTTTTTTACAATATTCCAAAAACTTTTTCTTAAGTTTTAAGCTCACATCCGGTTTTCGGCCTGTGGGAAGAGTGACAATAGTTTCTGTGTCTTAAGTACTGGTCACAGAGGTACATGAGGTGACAGGGTTCAACACGATGGGAAAATAGATGGCACCAGCTGGATGCTCAGGCATAAGTCTTGAGGGTGGAGATAACCTATCTGAATTTGACATCAGAAGGCATGATGAAAAATTGAATAATCTTCCTATCCCTGAGCCTGAGCAGTTACCCAATCTTCAGATTGGGAGAGATAGTTAGGATAAGATGAGGAAGACCACTGTGTATCTGGGGTTCCTTCTTTCCCCTCCCTCCCCTCCCCAAGATGAATGTATGTCAGCATGAAAATACTCTACCATAGAGCTCCATAACGTGGGTTGTTTCCCCATTCTTGTAATTCTTGGTGAAATAAATCAAATAGTCAGTATAGTTGGTTTCAAGGATAACAGCTATATTATGTCCATCATCTATTGAAGAAACAGAATACATAGCTCAGAACTTCTTTGGTCCTGCTTTTGGGAAGGAGTTGAAACCCTACCTGTTCTTCCCCACAAAACAACAAAATTCAAGTACATTTTCTGGAAGACATTGAGAGTGAAGATGTTTAGTGTCTTCCATTGTACCTCCCTGGGTCTCATGGGGGGACTTCTAAACACAGGGGATATTGACCACTAGTTCTTGAAAAATTTAGGCACAGCAGCAATTCATGTTTCTTAATCCTCCCTGAGACCTACCCACTCCCTCAGCATCTCTGTCAGTGATGTGTGTTTGTCTTTCCTATAAGTCCCACTGGACTTACATACCTGATGGTACATCCTGAGCATCAGGATGAGTTGTAGCAATAACCATCAGGCATCTTGGACACATGGCAGGGAGTAAGAAGCTGTCATGTCAACTTATTATTCTTTTCCTGCCAATTAACTTCTGTTGCAACAAGTACCTGCAACTAAACTGCCTTCTTTATCTGATAGGATTATGTGCCAATCATTGGCTTTTACATACAGAGTTCTCCCAAATTCAGGATATTGCCTATTAGATGGCTCCTGTTATATTATCTAAATAATCACTGATCAAGAATTGACCATGATCCTGAAGATACTGGGGGAGGGTAAATACCTTGCAGTTGGAGGTAGAATTTAGAAAGACATTTTTTAGATACTTACATTCAACAGCACATTCACCATCCTTTTCTGTTTGGTCACAAACAAAAGAAATTTCACTGCATTCTCCATTTTCTCTGTGAAACAGAATGAGTTGATGCCCAAGAAATAATAATGAGGCTGGCTTCCTCCCCCCTCTGCTCTTTTACATCATTTCACTTGATTACCACTACCACTACTTCCTGCTGTTACTCTTACCACAACTACTTATCTAGATTATGAGCAGAGCGTGCCTGCCAGCCTCTTGAGTAAGTGCTTCACAAATGTTACTTGGGTTTAGTCCTTGCAAAAAGACACAAGAGAGAATTACTTTCATCTCCTTTTACCAACAGGAAAATGAAGATGGAAAGAGATGAATTGTCTTTAAGAGACAGATTCAGATTCAGGCTTTTGATTCCAGATTCTGTGCTTTTAACCTGCACTGTGTTGTCATGCTGCTGGTGATTCTGGGGTCCTTCTACCTCCTGCTTTCCCCACTCCTGCTAAATTTATTCCTACTACCAACTCTTATCTCTGAATCCTAAAAAGTCCCAGATCCACCAAGTCCTGTTCAGTACCAGATGAGGGACTCTGATTTTGGACACAGACCCAGTGTGTGTGCATGCATACATGTACTTGTGTATATATGTGCACACTCGTGTGCTCCTGTGTATGTGTGTGTATTCAAGATCATACCCAGGCTTCCATTTTTCCTTTCCCAACTAAAAAACTTCACACTTGGAATAATAAACATTGGAGGCTCCAAAAGTCAGAGAAGAAAGGGGGCGAAGGATGAAAATTTACCTATTGGGTAAATGATACACTGTTCAGGTGATGGGTATGCTCAAAGGCCAGACTTTATCACTACACAGTATGCCCACATAACAAAACTGCACTTATAACTCCCAAATTTATAAAAAGAAAAAAAATCCCACACTTACAATGTATGATATTTAAAGTACAAAGAGGAGTTCTTCAGGGCTTGGATTTGTTCTACAAAAATCCTCATGCTACCATTTTCTTTTATCTTTTCCTTATGGTCAGAGGCCAAGAGGATGGAATACCATCCTCCTGAAATCTGCAATAAGTAGTAAAATGATTGGGTAAGAAAAGAGGAGAGGGGATACCACATGAATACTTACCTCCTTGGACTCTGACTTGTGGTCTAGGACTTATAATGGAGATATGAAGATAAAATTAGAACTCAAGTCAACTGGCACCACACCTAGGGCTCTTTCTACTGTCCCTTCAGGGAAATAGAGGATCCAAACTGCAATTGCTTTTAGTGCAAGGCCAGAAACCACCCCTTTTGTCTAATATATTAAGGAACTTCTGGCCCCCACTAGGACCCACTTAGCTTCAGAATCCTCCAAGCTCCGCCCACCCCCATCACAAGTCAAAAGTCACTCCACTCCACCACTCTACCTTGCGCAGATTGAAATTGCTCGTCACAACGTCATTGTTTCCTTCCTCTTGGGCACAGACTAGGGCCAGACTCAGACTTAGAAACAGCAGCTTCATCTTGATTGAGGTCAGTACTATCTCCTCCACAATTGCCAGGGCTAGTCTTTCTGCAACAGTGGTTCTACCCTGCAGCTCCTCTGTCTTTATATCCAACCCACATCCATATTTTTGTCTGTGGGGCATTACCTTTTTCCTCCCCCTCCATGAAATGGTCTTTTATTCAGTGGTTGAGGGCAAGAATTGTTCCTTCCCTTTTGAAATTTGGCAGTCCCACCTGTTTTAGATCTTGTTAGTGACCTTAAATTTCTCCAAACACATTCTCAAGAAAATAGTGGATGCTTTAAAGGGTTGCCATTTGGAACCAGATTTAACTATGGTTCTGGCTTTGGAATTGGAAAGCCAATTATGTGTGGCAGGAATGGGTGTAATGAGGAAATGGAATGTGTGAGAATCTTTGTTCTATCTCTCCACAGGAGAATAGGCATGGAATGGGTGAGTTATTCAATTTCTACAAGCCCTAAAAACAAAGAAATGTTTCTACCAAAGATAACATTACCATCACAGCATTAAAAGAGGATTAAATAAAATAATGTCTTTAATGCATGGAATCTGGTATTTAATATATTTTAATTCCTTTTCCTTATTCTCTGAACCCAACCACTGCAGGCTTTCATCTCCCTACAATGAATGAACAAGCATTTAATCACTGTATGCAAGTCTGTATGGGCCCAGAAGAGAAAAGAAGTATAAGATGTCATTTCTTCCTTCATTGAATCTTCAGTAAAGTTGGGAAAATGCTTCATATACTTAGTAAAAACTTGATTCTACAAGCATATGAAGTGACTTGACTGAGTGGTAGGTACCTAGTTCAGACTGTGATAAAGAGGAAGCTACTGGGGAGGTGGTGTCAACAGCCACTGTTAACCTGAATAGTCATTTCATGTAGGACACTGGTGGTCAGGCCCTAGTAAGGCCAGATGAGCCTATGTGCTGACATCTGGAGATTGTTCACTTCCAAGGCCTACTCTCATAGGTAAGTTGGGAACTGGAGACCCCATGGTATTAGTCAAGGACCCAGGGTACTCTGTGCACCCAGTGAAGTATTGATTAACTATAAATTTAAAGTAAAAATGCTTTGAAGTTATAACCACTTTAAGATAGGAAGATATTGTGTAACTTTTTCACCTACAAGGAGGAATCTGTTTGATGGCACTATGATGAGTAATAACATCGCTGATGTTTATTTTTACTGTGAGAATATAAAAGTAACAAAGGGGAAATGGAGGCTAAAATCGCTATTTGAGGAGATATCCTCGATGCTCTCTGGAATTGTTGGCCTTTCTGTAAATAAAAGTGAAACTGTTGATCTCTCACCCGCTTCTCCTTTGATTGACTTGGGTGACAGACAGACAAACTCCTAGGAAGTGCTTAAGAGCACAAGCTTCAGGGTCATGCAGATCTGGCCTTTATTCTTATCTTTGCCATTTGGAAGTGATGAGGACTGATTTTAACCTCTCTGAGCCTCAGTTTCCTCTTCATGGGGATAATTACATCTGCCTAATAGATTGTTATGGGATGCAATGGGCTAACAAGCATAAAACCCTCACTCAGCATAATGTCTAGCTCACACTAAGCTGGCAGGGTCAGAGGATACTTCCTGGATGTGGTAGGTCTTGAAAGTTAGGGAGGGCATAAAGATGGGGGGGGGATCATGTGGGAACAGCATTCTAGGGGAGGGAATATTATAAGATAGGATTCCATGCCACCTGTTGGGGCTGTGAGAAGCTATAGCTACTTTCTGCCTTGTGCTAATGGTCCCCTTCTGTATCCCCCCAAACCAGAAAGAGGCTGGTATCATGGAAGGTGCTGAGCGCAAGGCAGCTAGGAACTCTGACATTCTGTCTGTGGCCTACTTGAAAAGTCTTACCAGTCTGGACGTAGTGGCTCACACCTGTCATCCCAGCAGTTTAGGAGGCCAAGGTAGGAGGATTGTTTGAGGCCAGGGGTTCACAACCAGCTTGGACAACAGAGTGAGACCCTGTCTCTACGAATAAGAAAATTATCCTGGCATGGTGGTGAGCACCTGTAGTCCTAGCTAATCAAGAGCTTGAAGTTCCAGTAAGCTATGAACTCCAATCCAGCATCACTGGACTCTAGTCCAGGCAACAGATCAAGAAAAGAAGTCAATACCCTGTGTGATCTTTCTTGGTTCATGCTCAACTAATATTCAGTCACTGATGCTTTGAGGCCTATGTAACTTTGGCCATCACAGGTAGGTTTTATTTGCCCTGAGATGGAGAACTGAGCTTGATAAATGGTGACAAAGGCTATGTACTTGATTCTGTCCATTTAAGTCACCCCAAGAATATTTGGTAGCCTGTGAGGATCCAGATTTGCAAAATGAAGCCTACTCTCCCCAGGTCAGAATGCTGAGAGCAGAGTCAGCTCCTTCTGCTGCACACACTGTCTCTATTCCATCCCACCCCCTCATAACTCTGCACTCTTACAGCACCACATGGTAACTTTCTGTTTTCATTCTTTTTGAGAAGGTAAGCTCCTTTCTGAAGACTGAGACATCTTTCTGGTTCATCATTGTACCTACCATAGTACCTGATACAGAGTATCACCTCAGAATGTTTATACACTCAATTCTATCTTCAAAGCACCAGGAATTAGGAAGAACCTTATAGAAAATCCTTTTGTAAATAAGATTATCACTTTGGGATAGTGACATCCCACTATGCTCTCCTTCTATGCCTGTGGCCCAGAGGGAGAATTTACAAAATCCTTTTGTAAATAAGACTATTATTTGGGGCTTCCCCAAAATAATAAATAATCTTATTTACAAAAGGATTTTGTAAATCCTCCCTCGGGTCACAGGCATAGAGGCAGAGTGTAAGACTGAAGTCTGTGATCAGAAGCCTGTGTTTTGAATGATCTTACCTACTAAGACCCAATTTGACTGTTCCCCACTCTGGCTATTCAGATTAACCTTATTTTTGATGGTTGGCTTACAAATTGTCAGGATATCCCATAAACGATGAGATAGCAAGGCTTCAAAAATACCCAGGAGGTATAAGGCAATCCAGTGAGGGGCTCAGTGGAAGAAAACTCAGACAAAACCAAAGCTGAACTACTATGAAAGTATTAAATCAATCAGGAGTGACTCTCTTACAATAGGATTCTCTGAAATAATACTGTAGTACTGCACTTAAATATTAATAATCTCTCACAAGTTATAGATCAATAAATATTACAGTCAGATGAACTATTGATTTTTGTATTGGAGAGGATTGGACAAGGTAGAGAGATGGAGAAAGATGACCAAAAAAAAGAATAACCACTTCTGTTAGCATCTTCCAGATGAGAGTGTAAGTACTTAGAACAAAAACTCAATTTATACAAAATAATAAAAGTTCACTTGGCCACCCATCTATAAGAATAATGAAAGTTACACAAAGTATAGCATTTGACTGTGGAGTAATTCTGTCTTTAGTGCAACACTTTGTTTTAGGATATGATGTTATTAATAGAATTTTAAAGTGAAATAAACGATTGACTTAGTTCATCTACCATTATCAAATAGGTATTATCTGATAGATGAATAGGTATTAACTCTATGCTAGGCCTATCCCAGGCCTTTTGAGGGCTAAAATATGGGGGTATGTTCTCAAGAGACTCTGGGCAAGTGTGGGGATGATTTGAAAATAATCTAACTATAAAGTAGAAAGTGAAAAAAAAAATGTATAGGAAAACAGAGATGCCAATAGTAATGGAGAAGAGGGATAAAAGAAGAAAAAAGAAAACATGATTTGGTCTAATTACAGTCTGAATTCTGGGCCTGGAGCCAGAAGAAGAATTTTTTTTACCTCTAGCTGAGTACAGCTTTACATGAGGAACACAAATTCACAAGGGAAGAGTGGATCACAGCAAGCTTTAAAGAAGCCTTCCTCTCTGATAAAGTGAAGAGGGAAATGGAGGTGCTTTCTGGTAGGGAGAAAGGAGAGAGCTGAGTTCTTCTGTCAGCCTGTGGTCCCAGGGAAGCAACTCTTTCCTTTTTGCTGTGGGAGGAATAGTGCTTCTGGTGTGAGCCTCAGGCAACACAACAGTAGCAGGTGGGCCAAATGTATGTCTGATTGTCAGTCACTGCCCCAAGAAGTAGCCTCCCGACCTTCTCTTTTATGAGACCAACTAAGTATAGTCAGGTGTCACTCCACAGCTGAATTCCACAATGTATACATGTATCAAAACATCATGTTGTACATTGTTTGTACATATATACAATATACTTGCAGGTGGGTGGAAATGTGGGAGAACTCCCTGAGAAGTAGAGGCAGAGGAAGTCATCCTCTTAAAGCATTTATTTAGATTGGAATTTATGAAATATTTTAACAATTAGGTAATGCAGATTGTGAGGCAAGGGATAAAGGACAGATAGAAGACATGGATATCTCAGACAGTGTGTGCAGGGAGACTACAATGCATATCACAAGCCCCAAAAGCCTGTTGAATACAACAGCACAGGCCTTAGAGAACAGGTCAAAAAATGTCTTACAGAGACCTGATCCTTCCCCCACCAAGAGGCTGTACAAAGGTCACTGAGGGCCAAATGAGTGGTTGTGAGATGCACTGGAAACAGCATGAGCAGCTGGCTCCTTGATAAGAGAAACAATCTCTTGGGGCTAGATAAGAGAAACAGTTTCTTTCTCCCCTGCTCCTAATGTGGGTGTGAGCTCAGCCTATCGGCCCCACAGGGACCCAGAGACTTAATTGCCTCCTGTGGAAACTGTGTGTGTGGTCAAATCTGCTGTCTGCTCTTGCATCTTGCTTCTAAGCTTTGTTCTTTGTTTTATTAACTGCATCACAATTCTTTAGTTTAATAAATAACATAAAGTAGAGTATAAGTAGTTAAAGAGCAACTTAGCTGAAGTGGTTAAAGAGTAGCCAAGTTAAAGTGGTAAATACTGTAAAAGATGACCTATACTGCAGTTTTCTACTGTCCCCCATGATTATTCATTTGCTGATTTGAAGACAATTATGTAATAAATACTGAGTTA